CTCTCTCTCTCTCTCTCTCTCTCTCTCTCTCTCTCTCTCTCTCTCTCTCTCTCTCTCTCGTTTAGAAAAGATATATAATTGTACGTATTATTATTATTATTATTATTATTATTATTATTATTATTATTATTATTATTATTATTATTATTATTATTATTATTATTATTATTATTATTATTATTATTCTTTTTCCTCTTCCTTTTGATTTCAGCCAAAATATTATTATTCTACGTTATTTTTTATGCGGTACTGGCCGGTTTCTTCGGAGCGATGTTGACAGTGTTCTATCAAACGTTAGACCCGAATGCACCGAAATGGCAATTGGACAATTCCTTGATAGGGAGCAACCCCGGCCTCGGTTTCAGGCCCATGCCACCTTCGAGCAACGTCGAGAGTACTTTGATCTGGTACAAAGCCAGCGACGAGGGAAACTTTTTACACTGGACCAGAGAGTTGGACAAGTTCCTCGAAGGTAAAATAAATTTTAATTTCCATCTCGTTGTTCAAATTGGTAATAATTTTTTTTTGAACGATATATATCTCTCTCCCCTTTTCTCTCATTAATTTTTACTTCAACGAAAAAAATCCCTTTAATGAGAAAAATATCTCGATCGAAAAATTATTTATGTTTGTTGATAAACTGTGTATCGGATGGATGCAAGTATATTCGGTAATATTATTCCCATAGATGTATTATGACGCTAATATTAACCGATAAGCGAGAAAATAGTCTTTGTCCTAACGAGCCAATTACGTCAGGAACCCGTTAAATCCGGTCAAGGTGAGACCAATCTTTGGATCAAAGTTTCAGCGTCTTTACATTTATATTACATAACTATACATAATATATATATGTTGTATAAAATAAGGAGGAATTTTAAAAATAGAAATTAACTTTTTTAAAAAGTTGGCAAAATGGGAAAATAAATAAAACTATATACAATCTCTCATATTTTCTCAATAATTTTTTAATATATCATATCTCTCGCCATTCGACAATTTTATTTTATTATGCGACGATTGAACGCGAAAAAAAAAGGATAACGTTTTCGATTCGTTGCAGAGTACCAGAAACCAGCATCGTCGACGAATGGCGCCCAGAAAAGGACGATTTGCGACTACGGTAAACCGCCAGCCCCCGGTAAAGTCTGCGACGTGGACATGTCGACGTGGGGCCAATGCACGAAGAAAAACAAATACGGTTTCAACAAATCCGCTCCTTGCATCTTCCTTAAGTTGAACAAGGTGAGCGATACGACGGAGATCTCGAGTGTTTAAAATGTTTTTAGCACTCATAAGATTACCATAAGATAATTACTCATAAGATAAGATTACACCTCATACGATTATACATAAAGGATTTAGGAATTTTATGAAGCGATATTCTAAAAAAATCAAACATAAATATAACATAAAATAAATATTGTCACCGTTTAAGTTGTCGCAACAATCCCGGTGGTGTCGGATAGAGTTACCACCGGAGTTACGGCGTTGACTCGAGTAGTGACAGAGTTACCGTTGGAGAGCAAAGAATTAATATTACTATAATATATATATTACATATATTATATATAATATACTATAATATATATAATATATATAATTACTATAATATATAATNCGGGTGAAAATCCCGCCGATGTTGAGAACATGGGCGCGATTCAATACATCCCGCGTCGTGGTTTTCCCGGTTATTACTTCCCTTTCACAAACACCCCCGGATACCTCAGCCCCCTCGTAGCAGTTTTCTTCGAGAGGCCTAAATGTAAGTTTTATATATATATATATATATAAAATAAAATAAAATAAAATAAAAAAAATATATATATATATGTGTATGTATATCGATGAAATATAGTGAATAATGAAAATTAGAAGGAGGAAGCACGATTACGATTATTGTATATGATTTTTAGACGGTGTATTGATCAACATCGAGTGCAAAGCCTGGGCGCACAACATCATCCACGATAGATTCGAGAGGCGTGGCTCGGTGCATTTCGAATTGATGGTGGATTAAGAAAGCGGCAGCCACACCTTTTTCTGCGACCATCCACTACACAACACTCGAACGCGTCCAAAGAAGAACGACACAAAAGGAAAAGGAGGGAAAAGGAGCATACCAATAAGAGAAATTTCTTTTTTTTTAATCGGATCTCGGTGACCACTTCCTCCGCTTCCCTTCGTTTCTTCTCTGCCGGATACGATACCGCCCCCCACCCCCTCGCGGTTACTCCTCTCATCGTATAATATTCGATATTAGATTATTTGACTCAGCCATTTTTCACTTCTCCCACCCCTCCCCCCTCTCTCTCTCTCTCTCTCTCTCTCTTCGTTGAACGCGATCGCGCTTCTCATCGTCATCCGTGAAACGGGCCGATGAGAGAGAGAGAGAGAAAAAAGGAAATAAGACGCTATAAGTCAACCCTCATTCGCTTCACACTCGGCATTCATACGTGTTATACTCATCAACTTTGTGCGTATGTGTGTGTGTGTATGTGTGTGTGTGTGTGTGTGTGTGTCGCAGCACGCGATTCTTCGATGCTCGTCTTGGCTTCCGCAAAAGCATCTTATCGGACCGGTTAAATTGGCTACGCGTATCATACATATATATCTGTGTATGCGTGTATAATATATATATATAATATATATAATGTACATACGTAGACAGACGTAGATAGATAGATACGTATTTACGATATACGTATCAGGATGCACAAAAAGGGATGCGCATTGAGAAGCGGAAAAATTCTGCACAAAAGAGAGGAAAAGAAAAAAAAAAGAAAAAAGTCACGGTTCGGGCGGTATCACGCTGTTTCTATGGAGGGGAGTGAAGGGGGGAGTGGTCGATCGAAGGAAATCGATCGGAGGGCGTAAGAGATTTCCCTCACTTTTTTTCGAATTTCCCCCTTTTCGCGAATTTACGCTTTTACTTTTCGTCGCTTGATTTCGCGGTCTCGTTGGCGGGCAGGTTTCGATGCAGATGCACACCTTTTTAGGTTTTTCCTTTATTTTTCTTTTATCACTTTTCTTCTTTCTTTCTTATCGATGACTTGGCCTGGTCGGCGAGACCACCTAACACACGTGTAGGGTACACCGAGGTGGATAAAAAAATCGTTACCCTTTAGTTGGTGCCACGTAGACGTATTAAAAAAAAGAAAAAAAGAAAAAGAAAAAGAAAAAAAAAAAAAGAAAATGTTAGCGCGTTTATGGTGCACCCGGCACGGTGGAACTTTTGATTTCGAATTTCACGAAGAAGCTCTCGGATCTCGTGGCTCTCTCGGCGAATCTCGATCGAAAGTTCCGTCGTTTCGGGCGAAAGGGAATGAGAAGGGAGGGGATCGATCGAAATTCACGATATATATATATATATATATATATTGCGCGCGCATACGCGAGCGGATCGTGAAGGAAAAGGAACGCGACAAGATGGAGGAACGCGGAATCGGAACGAGACGACACGTGACTACTCTTCGATCGATCGAGTCGTTTCTGCCGCGGTGGAACTTTCGATTGGAAATCCTTTCGATTTTTACCAACTTTGCGAATAGATTTCTATTTCATTGGATAAATAATTGTTTTGGAGAGGAAAACGGAGAAATGAAACGAGTCAATTTTCTAATTTCGATCGGTGAAAAGAGAAAAATGAAAGAATTTTTGGATTTTCATTTGAAGTTCCGCCTGTGAGGAGATAGGTTATATTATACTGTGTTTACGTAGTACAGTGATTAATGGTGGTAACGTGAATAATCAGAGAAATGGAAAGTAATGATTAAAAAAATTGAAAGAGAGAAAAAGAGAATATTCATCGTCGATAAACGAGAAAATATATAAAAGCAATCTTATATTTTCTTTGATTTTTCTTCTATTATATCTATATGTACATATATATATATATATATTAAAAAAGAAAAGAAAGGAAAAGAAATAGAAAAAAAAAAAATTTGAATTTCATTCGAATTGCTCAAACGTTTTAAAAAGAAGCGGAGGAAAAAAGATAAATTCCTGTTATGTTACCGCCATTAAGATTAACAAAAAGATGTAAATAGATACGAGATTCGAAGCAAATAAGAGCGGAGGATATTAAAAAAAAAAAGAATTTCGTTGGATTTCGATTTGTCGAGAAAAAGCAGCGCGCAGTTTGCACGGGGAAAAAGTTTAATCAGCCTAGCGATAATCGTACAACACCGTATGGGATATGTATTTATGATTATATCGTACCGCATGATAATATCTATAGTGCTAGTCCACTGCAATCGTATAGTCGATAGATTGTATCATCAGTCTAGAGATCAGAGGAACTATACGTTCCGTTTTCAGCGATTTGATTCGAGTCGAAAAATTTCCAGCCTTGCGTACACTTCGATTACGCGTCTCATCCGTTTCATCCAATCGTCGTATTCGCCTCTCGCTAAGCTTCGTAAAAATCGATTATTTTTGTTATTCGATTTTTTTTTTTTTTTTTTTTTTTTTTTTTTTATTACCAATCGATGGTAACGTACTTAACAACAGAATCGAACGAAATCGAACGTTCATCCTCTGATCTCCAAAGTCTTTGTGGCTTGAAGCATATAGAAGCAAAGCTGGTTATTCCGAGAGCTTGTTCGTTTTTTCGAATTAGACAGCGTTTGCGCGTTAGTCGCCGCCCCTTCCTCTGGGATCACCGTTTAGGGATGTTTTATTCGACGTGGAAGGAGGATCCTTTGTCCTCGCCTCGATTGTTCGCAAACGCTTGTATCACGTTGAACACTACCAAAGTTTTACTGCCATTATACGTATCCATCCGTTACCTCTTACTTACACGAATCTTTTTGGATTCAGTTGCATCAATCTTAAACCCTTGCGTACGTTGAAAACGTTCGAGACGTAGTCGTAATAGCGATTTTTGGTATCCCTGATGTCTTTTTTTTTTTTTTTTTTTTTTTTTTTTTTTTTTTTTTTTTTTATTTAGGATCGACAAATCTCAATTTTAATCGATCGAGAAAGAACCGGTGTTAGGAAAGAAAAATTGCATTAAATGAAAGGATCGATCGATCTTGATCGAGCGATCTTGATCGAGCGAACAAAACGATAGTACAAAGGCTATAGATCAAGCGATCCGAACGGGCGGCGACTTCGAACGTGAGCGCTGCCATAAAAATATACCCACATCGTTTTATCCTTTATTTATTAATCGAAACGTATCGTGCGATTATTATTACAATTATTAGTATTAGTATATCATCATCATTATTATTATTATTATTCTCATTATTATTTCTCTTACTCGTTATTATTATTATTATTATTATTTATAATAATATTAATATCATTGTCATTATTATCGTTATAATGATTAACTTATTAACGATCACTTATTTTTTGAGTCCTCGCCCGGAGCCATTATTGAGATAAGAAAGAAACTTAATATAGATTAATCGTCGACGACACTATTAACTTTTAAGAAAAAAAAGAAAAAAAAAAAAGAAATGGAAGGGTAGAAAGGAGAAGAAAGGAAACAAGAATGTGCGAGAGGATAGAGAAGATAAAGAGAAAATGAAAACGATGATGAATTACGCGTTTGACGGTATAAAGTACTATTATAGAAGTTATTACACTTGTAATCCAGTGCACCGAATCGAGAGCGATATTATACATGTATATTCGTCATTGTCGAAAACGAGCTGTTTCTAATAATGAAGAACAACTGTTGTTAATAAGATATTACGTTTCACTCAGAAAAGAATGGATAAACATAAGAACGAAAGAGAATGTTGGAAGAAAAAAAGCTTGGTATCGAGGAGAAAAAAAAAATATCATGCTTAAAGTTTCTTAGTTCGCCGTTCCGAATTTCCATTTTTCGAAACGAAATTGTATCAACTTCGAAGGAAGGAGGATGGAAAGCTGGTAAATATTACAAATATTATTCAAACTAGTTGTCGATCATGGCATATTTTGCTATCCTGCAGACTACGTTTATTCTCCAGATTCTATTTGGAACATGTTTCCTGTGTGATAATTGTTAACTCGATTAGCGCTTTAAGTATGCACGTGAGAGTATGCGTATGTATGAGTAGATGAAAATTTTGAAACGAGAACAAAAAAAAAAAAAGAAAAAAATGTGGCGGAATTATAAGCTTTAAGATATATTTAAAGATGTATCGAATATATTATAAAATTATATACGTATATTTAATATATATATTATATATACTACGTATGATATATATATTAATATTATATATATTATATATATATATATTATATACATATACATCACATGAATACACCTAAGACATTATTACCAAAGATAATTTTATCGTAATTTCCTGAATAGCCGGTAAAATTAGTAAAAATTCGACAGAACT